GGCCGCAATTCCTATGAATGACCACGAGGTGGTGGCCATCTTGTTCGCATGGACCAAAACCGCCAATAGACTTCAGGTGGACTTAGCCGCGAATGCTCTGGAACTATTTTCGGCTATAGGATCAGCGGCACTTCGCGATTCAGTGGAACTATTTTCGGCTATAGGACCATGCCTGCGGTCAGTCAAATAAAGTACTTCCGGAAAATTTCTGAACCCCTGAACTGATCTTGGTGATCTTTGGATATGTTGGTCACTAAGATCAGGGCTATCAGGATGTAACATTTGTGGGGCTTCATGTGTTTTTAGGGTACTTTTGGGCAGGGGTCAAGTCCTGGGGAAAAAAGTGTGGGAACTCACCCAAGATTCCCGCTCCCTCTTCCGCCCTCCCCTAAAAATAAAAAAAAAATTACACTCATATGCATATAGTGCAGTGCAGAGTGTGTAGAATGAATGTAGTGTGTTTGTAATGAGTGCAGAGTGTGTATAATTAATGTAGTCTGTTTGTAATGAGTGCAGAGTGTGTATAATTAATGTAGTGTGTTTGTAATGAGTGCAGAGTGTGTATAATAATGCAGTGTGTGTAGTGAATGTAATATGTTTGTAGTGAGTGCAGAGTGTGTATAATGAATGCAGAGTGTGTATAGTGAATGTAGTGAGTGCAGATTGTGTATAATGAATGTAGTGTGTTGTAATGAGTGCAGAGTGTGTATAATGAATGTAGTGTTTGTGTAGTGAGTGCAGAGTGTGTGTAGTGAGTGCAGAGTGTGTATAATGAATGCAGTGTGTGTAGTGAATGTTGTGTGTGTAGTGAATGTTGTGTGTTTGTAGTAAGTGCAGCTTGTGTATAGTGAATGTAGTGTGTGTGTAGTGAGTGCAGAGTGTTTATAGTGAATGTAGTATGTTTGTTATGAGTGCAGAGTGTGTATAATGCATGTAGTGTGTTTGTAATGAGTGCAGTGTGTATAATGAATGTAGTGTGTTTGTAATGAGTGCAGAGTGTGTATAATGAATGTAGTGTGTTTGTAATGAGTGCAGAGTGTGTATAATGAATGTAGTGTGTTTGTAGTGAGTGCAGAGTGTGTATAATGCATGTAGTGTGTTTGTATACAACTAGAGTTGAGCGGACACCTGGATGTTCGGGTCCGGCAGGTTCGGCCGAACTTTGAAAAAAAGTCCGGGTTCGGGTTTGAACTTGACCCCGAACCCGAACCCCATTGAAGTCAATGGGGACCCGAACTTTTGGCCACAAAAATGACCCTAAAAACTCCTGAAAAGGGCTAGAGAGCTGCAATAGGAAGTAAAATGGGGGTAAGAGTAGGACAAGTGCCCTGCAAACAAATGTGGATAGGGAAATCACTTAAAATAACATAAAAATTTAAAATACAACTGAGTCATAAAATAGCACGAGATGGAATCTTGGATTTTAGCTTTGGAAGAACATTGAGAGAGGGTTGGAGTGCATGGTATTCTCTTTCATTGTTCAAACTGAGCTCAACTCCTGATGTATGGAGAAAAGGCCTTCACAAGCCTCTGCTATTGTGTACATAGTTTATACTAAGTGACCCGTAGGTTGAGGTGGTGGTGACCATGGCGGTGTAGGTGGAAGCGGCAGTGGAGGAGGAGGATGAGGTAGCCAACACTGTTTTTTATTTGTTTTTGTTGTTTGTTTTTTAATTGGGGTAGCCACCCAAATATTGGGACATATAAAAAAAGAAACAATTGCGGCCTGCGATGCATTTCTTGCAGTCCTGATGCATGGAGAAAGGACTTTACGTGCCTCTGCTAATGTGTACCTAGTTTATACTAAGTGACCCATAGGTTGAGGAGGCGGTGACCGTGGCGGTGGAGGAGGAGGATGAGGTAGCCAACATTGTATTTTATGTTTGGGTTTTTTTTTAATTGTGGTAGCCCCTAAAATATTGGGACATACAAAAAAGAAACAATTGCGGCCTGTGATGCATTTCTTGCAGTCCTGATGCATGGAGAAAAGACTTTCACAAGCCTCTGCTAATGTGTACCTAGTTTATACTAAGTGACCCATAGGTTGAGGAGGCGGTGACCGTGGCGGTGGAGGAGGAGGATGAGGTAGCCAACATTGTATTTTATGTTTGGGTTTTTTTTTAATTGTGGTAGCCCCTAAAATATTGGGACATACAAAAAAGAAACAATTGCGGCCTGTGATGCATTTCTTGCAGTCCTGATGCATGGAGAAAAGACTTTCACAAGCCTCTGCTAATGTGTACCTAGTTTATACTAAGTGACCCATAGGTTGAGGAGGCGGTGACCGTGGCGGTGGAGGAGGAGGATGAGGTAGCCAACATTGTATTTTATGTTTTGTGTTTTTTTTTTTTTATTGTGGTAGCCCACAAAATATTGGAACATACAAATAAAGAAACATTTGCGGCCTGAGGTGCATTTTTTGCAGTCCTGATGCATGGAGAAATGCTCAACTCCTGATACATGGAGAAAAGGCCTTCACAAGCTTCTGCTAATGTGTACCCAGTTTATACTAAGTGACCCATAGGTTGAGGAGGCAGTGACCGTGGTGGTGGAGGAGGAGGATGAGGTAGCCAACACTGTATTTTATGTTCTTTCTTTTTTTTTTTTAAGTGTGGTAGCCCACAAAATATTGGGACATACAAATAAAGAAACATTTGCGGCCTGAGGTGCATTTCTTGCAGTCCTGATGTATGGAGAAAAGGCCTTCACAAGCCTCTGCTAATGTGTACCTAGTTTATACTAAGTGACCATAGGTTCAGGAGGCGTTGACCGTGGTGGTATAGGAGGAGGATGAGGTAGCCAACACTGTTTTTATATATATATATATATTTTTTTTTTTTTAATTGGGGTAGCCCCCAAAATATTGGGACATATAAAAAAAAAACACCCCTGTTCCGCAGAGTAGCTGTTGATATTATAGTTGCGCAGGAACTTTGTTGACTCTAGAGAACCTCGGGCAAATCGCACATCCCCATAGCGGCGACTTTGCATGCGGATGTCATCCATATCAACCTTCGATGCCAGTTTCTGCGCCTACCATGGTGACCACGGGTAATGGGGAATCAGGGTTCCATTCTGTACAGGGACCCTGAGAAACGGCTAGCACATGCAAAGAAGGCAGCAGGTGCGCAAATGACCCACTCCCGACGCGGGAAGGTAGTGACAACAAATAACATTACAGGACACTTTAGAGGCCCTGTAATTCTAATGAGTCCACTTGAAATCCTTTAACTCTGATCAATTGGAGGGAAGTCTGATGCAGAGCCACTGACCCTTGCGTGCTGTAGCTGAAACTCCACTATCGCCTGCTGCTGCTCGCAAAGTCTCATGAAGGCCGAAGTTACGCTGCAGCGCAGATAGGCGAGCAACAGCAGGGTGACAATGCCAAAAGCTCGCACAGCAACTACAGTGAATGTCACCTCCTGACAGTATCTGGGTCCTGGTCACCGGACTGCCCACCTCACTGTGAAACTACGAATGGATCGTTAAATCTGGTACGAACCTGAACTTTGCAGTTCAGGTTCGCTCAAGTCTATTATGGATCCTTTGATCGCTACATGTATTGCTTGGATAACTGGTAATTCTCGAGCTAATACATGCCGACGAGCGCTAGGGGACGGCCGCTTCGCTTTTGCACCCTGCTCCCTCTTATGCTGTGCTGGTGCCTCTGTGCCACAGCGCCTCTTCCTCCACACTGCACACGTCACTCGCATGACCTTGATTCCATGTGGGGTCTAGGACCTCATCATCCTTCACATCATCTTCCACCCACTCCTCAACCCTGCCCTCCTTGCCGGTATGCACACTGCAGAAAGCCACAGCAGTTGGCACCTGTGTTTTTCCAGCATGTAAAGTCTGCAAAGGACATATGGAAATTGTTTTAGAATTTCCTCCAGGCAACAGTTTTCCTTCTAAACTGACCTCTCAGTTTGACTTGTGAGGGTATTGCCCAAGAATTACAATATTGTTGTATATAGCAGCTTGTTATCTGGTAGTTTCTAGTGTAGAAAATATCAATCTGTTTTCTATCACTTAGATCTGTGTAAAGTAAAGACAAATAAGTCAATGGGACCTGATGGAATACACCCAAAGCTATTAAAAGAGCTTAGTGGTGTACTAGCAAAACCATTAACAGATTTATTTAACCAATCATTGTTAACAGGAGTAGTCCCAGAAGATTGGAAGTCAGCGAATGTTGTGCCCATTTACAAGAAAGGTAATAGGGAGGAGCCGGCAACTATAGGCCAGTAAGCCTTACTTCAGTAGTGGGGAAAGTGATGGAAACCATGTTAAAGGATAGGATTGATGAACATCTGAAAACACATGGATTTCAAGATCAGAGACAACATGGGTTTACTTCAGGGAGATAATGCCAAACTAATCTTATTGATTTTTTTGATTGGGTAACTAAAATTATAGATCAGGGTGATGCAGTAGACATTGCTTACCTAGATTTCAGTAAGGCTTTTGACACTGTTGCACATAGAAGGCTTATCAATAAACTGCAATCTTTAAGTTTGGATTCCAATATTGTTGAATGGGTAAGGCAGTGGCTGAGTGACAGGCAACAGAGGGTTGTAGTTAATGGAATATATTCGAAGCTTGGACTTGTCACCAGTGGGGTACCTCAGGGATCTGTACTTGGACCCATTCTCTTTAATATTTTATTAGTGATATTGCAGAAGGTCTTGATGGTAAGGTATGTCTTTTTGCTGATGATACTAAGATATGTAACAGGGTTGATGTTCCAGGAGGGATAAGCCAAATGACAAATGATTTAGGTAAACTAGAAAAATGGTCAGAATTGTGGCAACTGACATTTAATGTGGATAAGTGCAAGATAATGCATCTTGGACGTAAAAACCCAAGGGCAGAGTACAGAATATTTCATAGAGTCCTAACCTCAACATATGAGGAAAGGGATTTAGGGGTGATTATTTCTGATGACTTAAAAGGTAGGCAGACAATGTAATAGAGCAGCAGGAAATGCTAGCAGAATGCTTGGTTGTATAGGGAGAGGTATTAGCAGTAGAAAGAGGGAAGTGCTCATGCCATTATACAGAACACTGGTGAGACCTCACTTGGAGTATTGTACACAGTACTGGAGACCGTATCTTCAGAAGGATATTGATACCTTAGAGAGGGTTCAGAGAAGGGCTACTAAACTGGTTCATGGATTGCGGGATAAAACTTAACAGGAAAGGTTAAAGGATCTTAAAATGTATAACTTGGAGGAAAGACGAGACAGGGGGGATATGATAGAAACATTTAAATATATAAAGGGAATCAACACACTAAAGGAGGAGACTATATTTAAAAGAAGAAAAACTACCACAACAAGAGGACATAGTCTTAAATTAGAGGGACAAAGGTTTAAAAATAATATCAGGAAGTATTACTTTACTGAGAGCGTAGTGGATGCATGGAATAGCCTTCCAGCTGAAGTGGTAGAGGTTAACACAGTAAAGGAGTTTAAGAATGCGTGGGATAGGCATAAGGCTATCCTAACTATAAGATAAGGCTAGGGACTAATGAAAGTATTTAGAAAATTGGGCAGACTAGATGGGCCAAATGGTTCTTATCTGCCGTCACATTCTATGTTTCTATGTTTCTATGTAAGTGTTGTAGGTGTGAAACAATATAACAAGTGACCGATGTAGTAAATTCGAATCAAAGTTACGCTTCGATTTGACTCTCAGATATGAATTGAACACCCCAAATATACTATTTAGCGCCCCAAAAAATAAAATAAAAAATTGACTTTTTAAAACTCCAATGTAAGCAGCAGATTAGTAGCAAAACAATTAGAATGTTTACAAGTGCGCAGTAAGCACACTATTAGACGCTTCGGTTTGACTCTCAGATATGAAGAACAGACCCCAAAATGTATCTGGACTGCCCGTATGGGTGGGACCAGTCTGATATGCTTCAGATATGTTCTCTCTGTAATGGCACAAGATGAGCTAAAACCAGCTTGAGTTCTGAGCGGGGACCAACCGAAGGGCAGGCTATTTTAGCTGCTGTCCGTTCTCAGAATACTCTTGCGACCCATTTTTTGCTCTCTATTTAGCAGATTAGCAGCAAAACTATTAGAATGTTTACAAGTGCGCAGAAAGCACACTATTAGACGCTTCGATTTGACTCTCAGATATGAAATGCACCGCAGGCACCAAATGTACTATTTAGCAGTTTAGCACCCAGAAAATAAGGATGTTTACAATTGGGCTGTAACTGCACTATATGACGCTTCTATTTGACTCTCAGATATGAAAAACAGACCACAAATGTACTATTTAGCAGATTACCACCCAGAAAATAAGGATGTGTACCACTGCGCAGTTAGCGCACTATTTGACTCTCAGATATGAAGTGCACCGCAGGCCCCAAAATTTACTAATTAACAGATTAGCAGCAAAACAATTAGAATGTTTACAAGTGCGCATTAACCCCTTAAGGACGGAGCCAAATGTACACGTTGTTAACAAAACAAAATGTAAACAAAACCTGGCATTTGCGCTACATGTCTGTCCAACCGTAATACACCTCTTTCATAGTAAATGCACCCACCCTTATTATATATCATTTTATCAGGGGAAACAGGGCTTTCATTTAATATCAAATATTTAGCTATGAAACATAATTTAATATGAAAAAAATGGGAGAAAATACGATTTATTTTGATTTTTTTAGTTCTACATGACATTTTAACGGTCAGTGTCATAATACTGTTTGCTTTTACTCCAATAAAATACACATATTTGTATTCAGTAAAGTCTCACGTGTAAGACAGTACCCCCTATGTACAGGTTTTATGGCGTTTTGGGAAGTTACAGGGTCAAATATAGCACGTTACATTTGAAATTGAAATTCGCCAGATTGGTTACGTTGCCTTTGAGACTGTATAGTAGCCCGGGAATGAAATTTACACCCATAATGGCATACCATTTGCAATAGTAGACAACCCAAGGTATTGCAAATGGGGTATGTCCAGTCTTTTTTATTAGCCATTTGGTCACAAACACTGGCCAAAGTTAGCGTTAGTATTTGTTAGTGTGTAAAAAATGCAAAAAACGCCAATTTTGGCCAGTATTTGTGACTAAGTGGCTACTAAAAAAGACTGGACATACCCTGTTTGCAATACCTTGGGTTGTCTACTATTGCAAATGGTATGCCATCATAGGGGTCATTTTCATTCTTGGGCTACCATAGGGTCTCAAAGGCAATGTAACCAATCTGGCGAATTTTAATGTGAAAAAAATGAAACGCAAGCCTTATATTTGACGCTGTAAGTTTTGAAAACACCATAAAACCTGTACATGAGGGGTGCTGTTGTACTCGGGAGACTTCGCTGAACACAAATATTTGTGTTTCAAAACAGTAAAAAGTATCACAGCAATAATATTGTCCGTGTAATGCTGTTTGTGCGTGAAAAATGCAAAAAATGTCACTTTTACTGGCGATATCATTGTTGTAATACATTTTACTGTTTTGAAACACTAATATTTGTGTTCAGCGAAGTCTCCCGAGTAGAACAGTACCCCCCATGTACAGGTTTTATGGTGTCTCGGAAAGTTATAGGGTTAAATATAGTGCTAGCAAATTAAATTCCCTTTACTTTCGGCATGGGTTGTCAGGCAGGTCCTGCTAATTGTAATTAATTAAGATACCTAATTATGTAAAAATAATACATAAATATATATGTAGAATTAATATATGTATATATATATACGTATGTGTATATATATGTATATATCTATATAATTTAAAAAAAATATTTTTATTTATATATAGGTTTATATATAGTGATATATACGTATATATTTATGTATATAGATATATATATTATTTTGATCTATGTGTATTTTGATATATATATATATATATATATATTAATTTCACAATACAGTTAGAACGAAATAACACACATCTATATATTTTTTAATTATTTATTTTTAATTATTTTTTAATTTTATTTTTTAACGTATTTACATTTTAATTTTTTTATAATATATATAAATATATATATAACAATAATTATATATATATATATTTAATCAGTATCAGTCTACGTGTAATTTGATATTAATATATATATATAATTATATATATATTAATAGTAAAATACACCTAGACGGTGTACATGTGTGTATGTATATGTGTATATATATATACTTAGATCATATATATATAATATATATATATATGATCTAAGTATATATAATTTTTTTACACCATTTATTTGTTTTAATTTTATTTTCAGCCAGCAGGGGGACCACCTGTCATTACAGGCAGCCCCCCTGCTGGCAATGCAGAAGCCAGCTATCCCCGGCCATGTGATTGTGGGGTCCTCGCTAGGACCCCACTCTCACACGGCCGGGGGGCTTCCTGGAGGATGGACGTGCCACGGGTGGCTCCCTGGGAGTCCCCCCCACCGCTATCGCCGGCGTGGGACCGCCGGCGACCGGGTAAGTACCGAAAGACCGGAGGGCATACTATTACGCCCGGCGACGTTTAGAGCCGCCTATTAGAGGGCGTAATAGTACGCCCTCCAGTCTGAGGGGGTTAAGCACACTATTAGACGCTTCTATTTGACTCTCAGATATGAAGTGCACCGCAGGCACCAAATGTACTATTTAGCAGTTTAGCACCCAGAAAATAATAAGGTTTACAATTGGGTTGTAACTGCACTATTTGATGCTTCTATTTGACTCTCAGATATGAAATGCAGGCACCAAATGTACTATTTAGCAGTTTAGCACCCAGAAAATAAGAATGTTTCCAATTGCGCTGTAACCGCAATATTTGACGCTTCGATTTGCCTCTCAAATATGAAGAACAGGCCCCAAAATGTACTATTTAGCAGATTAGCAGCAAAACAACTAGAATGTTTACAAGTGCGCAGAACGCACACTATTAGACGCTTCGATTTGACTCTCAGATATGAAGAACAGGCCCCAAAATGTACTATTTAGCAGATTAGCACCAAGAAAATAAGAATGTTTACCACTGCGCAGTAAGCGCACTATTTGACGCTTCTATTTGACTCTCAGATATGAAGTGCACCGCAGGCCCCAAAATGTGCTATTTTGCAGATTAGCAGCAAAACAATTAGAATGTTTACAAGTGCGCAGTAAGCACACTATTAGACGCTTCGATTTGACTCTCAGATATGAAGAACAAGCCCCACAATGTACTATTTAGCAGATTAGCACCCAGAAAATAAGAATATTTACCACTGCGCTGTAAGCACACTATTAGACGCTTCGATTTGACTCTTAGATATGAAGTGCACCCCACAAATGTACTTTTTAGCACACAAACATTTTTAAGTTTTAAAACTGCAATGTGACAGCAGTATTTGACGATTCTATTTGACTCTCAGATATGAAGTGCACCCCACTAATGTACTACCCCACTAATGTACTATTTAGCACCAAAAAAAAATGACTTTTTAAAACTCAATGTAACCGCGGTATTTGAAGCTTCTATTTGACTCTCAGATAAGAAGTGCACCCCACCCCACTAATGTACTAGTTTGCAGATTTATTTCCTAAGCTGTCCCTGTCAGCGGCAGCATGCTCTCCCTACACTAATAAGACCGCATGTGCGTGCGGTGCTACGCGACTCCAGCTTACATATAGAGGCTGGGTCACATGCTGCACTGGCCAATCGCAGCCATGCCATTAGTAGGCATGGCTGTGATGGCTTCTAAGGGCACACGAGTCAAACGCTTGTTGATAGGGTCAAGATTCCAAATCATGCACAAAATTACTATGAAAAAAACAGTAAGACCAATTATGGCTATATACTGAGAGAATAAGAATCAGATATAAAATTCTTAAAGGAACATGTCCAATTGAAAAGACAATGTCTATTTAACCTGCAAGGTAAGTCATCTGTTCATGTGTAGCTGTGCAGGAGATGTATACTTTAGAAACAATATGGGTATATTAGTACACTTTACATAGGAACACTCATTGACTGTGAATAAAAAACTGTAAATCCTCTGATATAAATAAATAAATAAATGAAATACAAATAAAAATAATTAAAAAAACAAAAGTACAGAAAATGGAGCTTCAAAAGTAAACATCCTCTCCATGAGGGTTAAACACAAAACTGGACTTGGGAAGAAAAGTCAGTTGGAAAGGGAGAAACTGAAAGTTTGTGATTGTGTACTTCCTCTATGAGTGTGATGAACATAATTTAC